GTCCTCCTTCCTGCTCCTGTTCTCTCCATCAGCTATTTGTCTTCTCTGATGCATGCTTATAGACCTCAAGCTCGGTAAGGTCTAACTTCAGCTCAAACAGTGCAAGATTGAGATCACTCATTTGCTCAGACTGGGAGTTTTAGAATTATATGAAAGATATCAAAAGGAAATAGGATTCATCGAGATAATTGGGGTTGAAGTTGTAGAGGTCAAATTCATTGAATTTGCTCATGTGGCATAGTCAAATCAAGGTCTGGATAATATAATTCTTGGCATATACATGCCAAGATAGCTAAAATGACTCTGAATGTATCAAGCACAAAGTCTCTAGTAGAGAAACAAAATGTCGCCACCCCCCCCCCTAACGTGGCCCCAATTTATCTTTTCTCTTTATCTCCCTACCCGCCCTCAGCTTTCCGGCTTACTTGCCATCGAGGATGCAAAAGGTATTACCTCTGCCCCCCCTTGATGATAAAGGTCTCTTACCATTGCTGGTATTCTAAACCCCCCATCCCGGGGCCCTCGGACTCTCTCGCATGATACCAGAAGTTGCTGTTATATATATACCTTATATCCTTAACCAGAAGGGTACACGTAGATTTTTTTTTTTTTGGGGGGGGGGAGGGGGTACCAGCTCTCTTTGGCACTAGATGGCGCAACCCCACATTGCTTGCAGTACCATATAAACTAGCAGTTGGAATGTCTTTAGTACCCCCCCCATTTTGCACCAAAGTATCCTACTTCACCAACTCAGTAAACACATCTTATAGACTAAAAAATACAGATAATTCTTACTGATAGCTGGAAAGTTCCATGAAATTTTACCTTATTGTTTTTTTGAACTCTTAAGTTGCATTGGTTAAAAGTTATTTTAGATACAACAAAACTGACATTGTATGAATGTATCTTTTATGTGCCTAATAGTCAACTTCCCTCAACCATTCTTGACAATATATTTTTGCTATGAAACCAATACAGGGCAGTAACTCTCCATGGATTTACCTCTCTGATTTAATTACAAATATTTTTTTAACTGCATTGAAAGTGCTTGATACATGTCCATCAAGTATGGCACTTTTGGTGTAAAATGGGGGGGTGCCAAGACTTTCCAACCACTAGTTTGTACATACTGCACGAGTACAGGGGGTAGAAAAACGTGATGTGACGCTCGTACAATACAAACTCCCATTCATGAACAACATTGGCAACATATAGTACTACCCCCTTTCCACAACAACATTCAATAAATAAAATAAGTAAAGGAGATAAAATAAAATAATCCTCAGTATTCCCTAAAAACTAAAAAAAAAAAAAAAAAAGTAAAGTAACGAGTTTGGTGCCCTTTTCTTTTAATAACCTCTCTATCCCACTTTAGTATATTGTAGGAGGACTATAAGACCTAGTTTTTCCTCCAATTCAGCAGCAATCTTTCTGAAAGACCATTCTGCTATTTCTCAGAGAGTGATAATACAGATTCAGTTATCTCGTGTCGTTTCTCACTCAAAGTGTTGCTTCTTCTTCATTAAAGATCATTACCATATAATAGTTTACAGATTGATCACTAAATTATTTTATTTATTATTATCTTAATAGCATGTACTTAGTTATTTAATTAGACTACTTATGCTCACTGCTCAGAGTTTCTTTTACCTGCATATTGTCTTCCAGAATTTTTCTGACAGGCCATAAGGGACTCCATCAGTATTGCAGGAGGGGGGTTGGTAGTGGAGGTGCAATTGTGCAGAAGGCGGTTGCAATTGTGTCGCACTACTTCCTTCCTCCCCCTTGTACTTCTGGCAAGATATAAATTACTTTTTTAGTCCACCCGGCGATGCGGTGGTCAGAAACTCGCAAAAGAGTTTTTTTATGTGTGAGGCGTGGGTGGGTAGGAAGAGCCTCAGTCGGCGAAGGTTCCCGGAATGATATTTGAAAAACAAACTTGAGTTGGGGTACACCCCCTAAAAGAAAAACCAGTCCATCCTACCACCTGTATTCGTACAGCAACCCCTCGATGACCCAGGCCCTGGGTCTCTTCATGTTAGGGGGGAGGGGGGCGCAGGGGAAGGAGAAACAATTTTGATATCCGCTGATGAGGCTGTTCTACTGTAGGCATTGGTGTAATTACCAAGAAGGCCCTCCGGAGACCCAACAGTTTGATAATTTAAGGCTGGTATGGCCCTACTTGCAGCCTGGTTAGCAGGTCCGTAGGAAGATCACCTTCATGACCACCGGACGGCACGTCAATGCGAAGAATAGAAGCCGTATCTGATAGGCGGGAGTCCCCCCCCCCCCCACCACACACATACACATAAGGGCAACGTGGGTCGCCGTCGATCGAAAGTCTTTACTATCATAAATTGTACTCCCCCCGTGCAGCGAACATTCACCCACCCACAACAATCCAGATGGTGCTCTCCCAGGATGCATGCGCAGAAATATATAACTTACAGGCCATAATTCCGAGTTCTCAGCCTTGTGTATATACTCGAGTATACATACCCAGCAAGCCAATCATGTGACCCCATCCTCAGGTGACTACTGCTAGTTCCGGTGGAGAAGGGTGATTCATGAGAACTCACTCGATAACAAATTATGCTATGTGTTCTACAGAATGAGCTTATTGGTATCATTCTTATATATGCGATGGTTGGAATTGGTATGGGAATGCTGTCAATGTGGGAGGTGGGATCTGGGGAATGTTTATTGGCATTCATGGTAGGAATCGGGGAAAACGGGAATGGGAATGGAATGTTGGATTCTTGCACTCCGGAAGGCTGTGTAGGACTAGGTAATCTGTATTTATTGTCCGTTATAGCTGTCGCTCTAGGCTGAGTGAATTGAGTCGATATCAGGGTTCACATTCTGGTTTTCACTATGAAGTGTAGGTCTGCGCAGAGCAGGACTCGAAGCAACACGATATGGCGCGGTAACTTGGCACAGGCCTTTGTGGCGCCGCTACCCAGAGAGCCAACGCACGGCGCACGAAGGAGGAGGAGAAGAGGTAAAAGACCGATCTAAGCCGAATACACAATTTATTCAAAGCTTTTCGGGTACACTTTATCATGTGTAGACTACTAGTACGGTGCCGCCGGTCGGAAGTGCTGGTTCCAGGGGGAATGGAATTGGCCGGCACGTAACTGTACCCACCTGGATCTCTGAATGACTGAGCCCGGTGCAAAATAAATAAACAATTGCAACAACAAAGAAAGAAAGTATCAAGAACCTTCGTCAGCTTGCTCTCACTGGTCTTGGTAGTCCCCGCTCGACACGGAGTTTGTACTGCTAGGGGTACGGTATTAAATGATACCGGTATAGCCAGGGCTCATGACTCCGCGATGAGAAGCTCCAGTGAGATCCAGAAATGTTGTGATTGAGGCATGGGAAACATTCGAGCTTATGGGGTACAGAAGATGGGTGGCAAGGACCTCTTCGTAATAACTACCGTACTCGAATTTGAGGAGTAGGATATAGATAGCCTACTCCAACCACTGTGTAAGTGTACTCGAGTGCAGTTAGTTCCCCCGGGCCATCCCCCCTTCAGTTTCCCCTTCCAATTTTCTATTTTTTTTTTCTTCCCCGATTTCCATCTTTTCCCAAACCCACCGTAGCGAATTTCAACCTCTATAACCTCAACTAGAGCAACCTGTTACAAATTCAAACCACAAAGTATACCACTACCAAGGATCAAATCCTGCGGTAGGAGAGCGCGTTTTCTGGCACCATTTACCTTAGAGCCGTAATTTACGCTTTGGTCTCAATCGGCAGGAATAAGGCGAAGAAAGGAATATCCTCCTATATAATTTTGCAACAGAATAGCTGCAAAAAAAAACACACCTAAAATCGGCCGCTGGTTTTCCAAATCATCGTGCCACAGTACCGGTGCGGCACCGAGAGACAGGAACCTCCCCTACCCAGTCGGAAGTAGTCAACATGCGAACGAACCAACCAATCACCTGATCTCTTCGTCTACAATCCTACAAGAGGCAAAAGGTATGGAACGTTTTTAATCTTACTCGAGAAAATTCATCGGAGGATTGAAGAGTCCCAGAAGTACAAGAAAAACTACAGTACATCTTTCGTGTGCCCCAGCATTTTCCTAGCTTCTGGGTGGTGCATAGGAAGCCAGAGCTCAAATGACTACCGTACCACACCTACGGCCGTCTAGTGAACCGAGTCCACGCCCGGGCTGTTGGAAGGCAGGTTTTCCACCATGCATCGGTGCGTGTGGTGCGTACGAGAAGGGGGGCGGAATAGTTCCACATCACCACACTCGCTCACGAATCGTGCTCAGCACAGTTGCATTTGTCATCTCTTGGAAGAGCGACACCGGCAGTACGACGAATGGTTGGGAATTCTCTTCATTGGAGTAGAGGCGAAATGCACGGGAAGAAATGAGGTGCTCTCTTCCCTCTTTGAGAGATACGGAAAGGTGGGGAAAAAGGGAGAAGAGAAAAGGCCGACCTTATCAATTCAAGTTTTCACAAGGCCCTTGTCGCTCAAGTATCTTCATGGGTTATCACTCATGTAGTAACTCCTGACTCCGAAACTCTCGGTGCCCCTTGCCTGGCGATGGCACATCCGGAAACGGAGTCAGTGAGTTTGGGCAGTTGGCGCAGTGCGGTACGAGTAATCGCTTCCTCTGAGATTCCGTGATTCGGCCGGGGATTGCTTGTTCTTACCAGACCTAACCGAAAGGAGCAGAGGCCGCAGCACCAGGAACCTCGGATGGTGTTAGGTCCATTTAATCATGCCGGCGGCACAGGAACACGAGAAGGGGTAATAACAATTCCGGAGGGCTGTGCGGTAGCGGGGTTTGAAGTATCCGCACTGGGCCTCATTCACGGTTCTTTGGGAGAAGTGGGGTGCAGTCCATGTGGGAGAGCGCTCGAGAAGGAGCTTTAGTACTCGAGTAGTGGCAATGGTTGGGAGCTGTGAAGCTCGCATTGCGGTAGAGGGCATTTCGCGAGCACGAGGCACCTTCCATTACTCGAGTACTCGTACGGTACCCGTATCGGGATTGCACGAGTACCGTTCTGTTCCCGTTACAAGTACCGAATCCACTGTGAGTCACCCAACCAGCTAGGAGGCAACCGCTAAGATTACTCAACTTACTGTACTAGTACTCTCGCCACAAGTGACCTAACTTAGCATGTAAAGCTTTTACTGTAACCAGGTTCCTGCTCGCGGAAAGGGGTTCACCACCCCCGTTTGCCGTCTTCCTGCGCCTTGTGCCGCCGATGCATTTTCGCCGACCAAAGTTAATAAATCCTTCAGGTTCCTCTTACACTTTCCGCTCTTTCTACGCTGCTATTCTCACTCATTAATTCACACGATATCTCATCGCTAGTCTCTCCTTTACGATACCCTGGGGTACTTGAAAGCAGATCTTGCATTCATCCGTTCATTCATTCATTCATTCTTTCGTCCATTCGCTCTTTTGAATTGTCGGCATCCAGTACTAGACGCACATTCAGCATGATCCCTACAGCTCTCCTCACCCTCCTCGGCGCGGCGACACTGGTCACCGCAACAATAAATTACAACAGCACCCTCACCCACCCGGGCGACGATGAGCCCTGGTTCGACGGGTCAATCCCTGCCACCTCCGTCTCTGAATCCTGTGGTAGGGCGTACGCTCAGGACCTCCCGTGCGACGAATGGCTCCTGAAAGCCCTTTTCGACAACAGCGGATCCTCCGAGAAAGAAAAGTTTGCCAACAGCACACTCAAAGCCCTATGCACGGATACTTGTCTCCTGGGCTTGCAAAAATGGCGCGATGACGTCCGCAAATCCTGCACCGATAAGGATGTCAGTGTTCGGGGCACCATTGGCCAACAGGCCATCTCGTCGCTGCTCGACACGAAGTGGATGTTTATTCAGTATCTGTATTGGCCGACTTGTATGAAGGATTTGTCCGCCTCCCTTTCACTCCGGATTGGAATGTGCTGCTGACAGGCTCGCAGGAAGACGGGCGCGCTCTGCCACGCCGGTGACAACAGCGACGAGAGCTCCCCGGCCTCCAGCGATGACTCCGAGAATACGCCGGAAATCATCGACGCCTTCTGCAAGGATAACTGCCAGACTCAGGCTTCCCTGTTCACGTGGGTTGTGAGCCAAAGCATGTTTAATGATACCAGCGACATTAACATCGCCGACGCGAGGAAGATTTGTAAGGGACTGGACTCGAGCGCGTATCCGTTTTTGAAGGATTTGAGTGCTGCGGGGGACTCTTCTCCCGGTTCTTCTTCCGGCTCGGGGGCGGGAGGAGCGGCGAACTCAACCGGGGGGAATGGCACGAGTTCGGATGCCGAGAATGGTGGTGTTAGGGTTGGTGGGAGAGTTGGGCTGTTGGCCTCAGTAATTTTGGCGGCGGTGGTTGTGGCGGGGCTTGGGAACATGTGAGTGAGTATCATGTGCACGTAGAGGATAATGTGTTTTAGTAAATTTAAACTGGGTGGATAAGGTAGCTTTGCATGTGTGGTTCTTTTTGCGCAATCATTCGTGATCGCCATTGGGGAGTACGGATTGGCGGAGGGTGTAGAATATGTCAAGTTCGAAAATATCGCTATTTGGCCTTGGCGTGCCTACCTATCTATCTGGCGCAATACCGGCGCCTGGTACAGTCCAGTACTGTACCTGAATCTCAAACTATTCGACCGGGTGGTAGGTAGTCCGGAATTTCCTCTTCTGGAAATCAGAGTGAAAACCGGTGCGGGGAGGTCTATCTATATCTATCTGTCTAGTCATCTATCGTTGGGTCCCTCTCAAAGATAGAAAAGAACCAAAACAAACAAACAAAAGAGTACAGTACTCGTGCAATTATAATACAGCATTCCCCGTCGGGTCGGATCCGATCAGATCTGGATGTTCTACCGGTAATGCACAGTGCCGCGATGACACTACCATACGATACAAGTACCGGTGTCTGCTCGTACTGCACGGTGCCCAGTAAATGTTTTCGGATTATTTCTGCCCACTAGCGATCCTGTCTTGCGCGGGAGTACCTCACTAGCACTTGTATTGCGATATCAGTCTATCCTCATCCTACCATGCGCCCCTACACAGGGCCGGCCACATAAGTTATCCCGGGTCGTTGGATTGGTTTAAGGCGAATACAGCGGTGCAGCGGTGGGGACCCTTAAGGAGGCATGCACGATGGTAGCGGATTTGCCCCTTGTGCTATACTACAAGTACTATTGTTCAAGTTGACCTCGTCGTTGCGTCGGACTTTAACGATCATCCGCTAAGTTAACGCTTCGCCGGTTTAGCGCCAACCCAAACAAAACTCTATGCAGGGCATCACACTGGACTCGAGACGGTACAGTACTCGCCAAACTCAAAAGTCTGTCCCCGACCTTTACCTAGACGCCGGTTTCAATGTACCGGTACAGGGCTTAGCTTATGGCAACAGGTGGCGACTCCCAGATGATGTCAACACTCATCACAAATATTCTGCATCCTAATCAACCACGATCCCTCCATGACCCCTCTATGAAGAACCCACGATGTCTGATCATGTAAAAGGTATTTCTAATATCCGGTCAAGAAGGAAAAGATAATATACTAAGGAAAGGAATTTAGGGCTTCAAATTACACCCCGACGCCGCTCAAGCATAATTAGTCTTCATTATGCTGGAATACCATTTCCTGATATCGGTCGGCAATTAAATATTCCTAGCAATACCTGTACTCGAGTTACGCGAGACATAAAAGATCGCGCCCGGCTAAAGGAGGGAATTGCAACAAATGCAAAACCATTCCTATCAGTCTGCCTTGAACCTGAAATTCTGGATTCCTGTCAGCGATCTGGTCGTCCTCATCTTCTTAGTGATGAGGAAGAAGAGGTTCTTATATCCACGGTACGGCAGAGTTTTGAAACCCGTCGCTTGTCTTTAGTAGATCTATGCAATGCTGCAGGATTTGAGAAAGGCATTTCATTGTCGACTGTTCTTCGGGTCTTACACAAATATGGGATTAAACAGTATAAAAAAAATATGAAATTTATACTGTGTGAGGAGGACTGCATGATTCGGAAGGAGTTTTGTGAGCTTCATCGTGATTGGCGCCCAGATGTTGAGTGGGCCAATTGGGGATTTACGGATGAAATGTCAATTACTGTTGGTGATACATATGGTCCTTCCTATGTCTGGCGGTCAAAGGATGAGAAGTGGCATAAGGATTGTATGGGAACTAAGAAGAAGGGAGGTGGAGCGAGTGTTATGTGTTGGGGAATGATAGGATGGAACTATAAGGGACCTTTCTATGTATGGGAGGAAGAGAGTGAGCAGGAAAGGAAGGAGGCGGCAAAGGAAGTAAAACTTATAAATTCAATTATTGTAGAGGAGCAGGAGCGAGCAACAGCAGAATGGAAAGCATCAGAGGAGTTTGAAATTCTGAAGGAGCAGGAACTGTTAGAGGCGGCAAGGGTCCGGAGAGAGGCAAAGGTAAGGCTATCATATGACAGTAATTTTACTATTTGATTTCATGCATGATAGTCCTACTGGTAATATACTATTTCATAAGGCTTTCTATTAATTCTATAGATAGGATTGCGGCAAAGAACCACCCAAAACAACTCAGTCTTGGAGGGGAAAGGCATGGAGAATTGAAAAGCTTAAACGGACAGGAGGAAAAGGAGGAATCGATGCCTGGCGTTATGTTAAGCATGTCGCATCCCCAATCCTATGGCCTGAGTGCCAGCGTCTTCTTCAGCTGAATCCAGACTTTCTTCTCATGGAGGATGGAGCCCCGGCACACAATTCCTTTTACACAGATCGTGAGCGAGTTAAGCAAGGAGTACAGAAAGTAGCATGGCCACCAAACTCGCCGGATTTTAATCCTATCGAGCATATCTGGGACCTTTTTCGGAAGAAACTACAATACCGCCGCCGAGGTCAAAACCGTATCACAACTACTACTAAGATGAAAGATGCCCTTTGGGAGGCATGGAATAGTCTTACAGTAGAGGAAATCAATCGGGAGATATCAAGGCTGCCAACAATCATGCAAAGATGTATTATAGTTGATGGTAAAAACAATTATCATGCTTAATGACTTGAGTATGATATCTTCAATAAGTCATGACAATTTTTTGTTGGGGTGCCACCCGTTGCCATAAGCTAAGCCCTGTACCGGTACATTGAAACCGGCGTCTAGGTAAAGGTCGGGGACAGACTTTTGATTTTGGCGAGTACATAGCCCTATCACCGATAACTCATCACAACTTAACCCAGTCTGAGAACATTCGTACGGTATGCTTCGGAACACCTCGACAGCGGCAGAAAGAAAAAAACACGTTCCCCAACCCCACAAGTGACCCGGAGCCGCGACCACAGCGAGAGAAGTGTTACTATATTCCTCCTGTATATAAAGTCCTCCGTTGGGAGGTATCACGTTACATGTGGCCTCCTCAACGTGGAATATCAGAAGACACGGTCCAGTACGAGTACCGTACAGTACAGTACACAGCTCGGACCCGCGAAAACGGGCCAAGCCTTTACCGATGTTTCATCCCTGGTTAAATTAACCTAACCTCCACTCAGCATAACTGCTCGGAATGGAATGGGGATTGGCTGAGAGGGAGATAAACGTATTTTGGGGGCGGACTTCTTGAGCCTTTCTGTGTTCCCGGTGTCATGGCGCCTACACACCCACAGCACGCTGGTGACATATATACCGTATCTATCCTACAAATGGGACTTTAAGTTACCCCCTGACTCGATTCGATTGGATTCAGTCGGCGAAGGGGATTACGGAAAAAAAAAAGGAAGGAATTGTAAGGAGGTAGAGTGAGTGGAGTGGTGAGCCGGAAGATGATGGAAAAAGTATCATATGCTGTGATAAAACTGGACTGGATGGAGGGGAGGCGGGAGCCAAGTACTAGTACAGTACCGTATCGGGAAAAGATGATTTTATTTTTGCTGAGAATCCAAAACCGAGTGATACTTGTACTGGTGTGTGAACATAATGGTCTGAGCTGTCCTCGCAGGACTATGCACGACGGGAGGCTGTTTGCTATTACTCCTAGCTAACCGTACAATTCACGTTTTCCTTCCTTCCTTCCGTCTATCACTAATGTCGGAGATCAGGCTTCATCGCCATGGATATCATTCTGGTAAGTTAGTAAGCCGCGGCGGCGGCGGGGGGTCTACAGACTTTACCGCTCGAGAATTAATGCCTTGCGGATGGATACTGGTATCGTACGCTTCCCCGCCGGGGATATCCGAGTTGCTTCCTCTTCTTCGCCCCTATTCTCTCCCTCCCTCCTTCCCCGACAGGAGACTTTTTTTATTTTATCTTCTTTCCTCACTTTTTTCTCACTCTTTCTCTTGTCAACTCGTTCATAACCCTCGCCTTAGGAGCCCTTTCGTGACGAGTAAAGCAGTATGGTCCTCGACTTATGCGCTGATGGTTATCCTTCTTCGTATCGTAGTATCGTAAAACGTTACGTTATGGCAGATCTCTATGTGCAGGCCCCTGTTTGAATGTACGATATCATAATGTCTCATTTCACATATTCGTGCATATCTCGTCACTCGTTATTCTTCCAGTCCCGTTTTGAGCTTCCGCGAGAATTGATGTGTGATGGGCGTTGATTTGTACAGTACTTTACGGAGCCGTTCCGGTGCCTCTTGAGCTGTAATACTCCGTGACGGGATAACCATCGCCCCCGCACGAATTGATACTGCGGGCCCAGTTCGGGACTGGATTACACTACCGGATACAACCCCAACGGTCCAAAGTAATAAGCTTAAACTTCATGAATCGTATTAAAGAAAAGAAAAGAAAAGAAAAAAGAAATACATGAGTAGAGTAGAGTGACCAACACAACTATTTCCTCGCCCCCCCCTCCTAGCTACTCCCTTCTAATCTTAAACTTCACTTTCAATTCTCCCTTGCTACACGGCGTGAAACAATCTATCCATTCCATATCCTCCTTACTACTCCTTTGTCAGTTTCCGTCCCGTACGTAATACCGGCGGGGCAACATACCTGGTCTCCCAAACCGCCATCTCAAACCTCCGGAACACGGTCGCGAAGGCAATGTACAACTCGGCCCAAGCGAGGCTATCATCATTAGCGCCTGGGAAGTCCAGCGAGGAAATGTTGGGGGGGGTGGTTACTTTGATCCAATACATGCTCGCGGTCCTTTGCTGAACGCTACAAGGTACTTTTCCAAATCCTTGGCGTTGGAGTCTAGCCAGCGGGCTGGGAGGAAGGTGTCTGGCGATGGGAATATGGTCGGGTTTAGGTGGAGTGTGGGCGCGTCCATTGATACTACCGTCTAGTAGTTGTTAGTTTTGTGTTATTCTGGAGGGGAAGGGGGAGGAGGGGGGTCACAGACTCCACCCGGGATCGGCTGATCTTGGATTGTCATCCCGGAAGCGGGGACTACACGAGATAGTGGTGCTACAGTGCCGTGACTTATCCGTAGGCTTTCTTTTATGACAGCGGTCTAACTGTCCTATTAGAACTTATCTCCTGGGGGGTTTTTTTTTAATTCCTTTAAGGTGGGGAGTAAGGAGGGGGTTTACGAGATACGCCGACTTCTCCAAGTGCTCATACGTAGGTTCCTCCTCAAGCACGGGCCATACCTCGCATATCTCTGCGAAGAGCTTCTCCTGCAAACCGGGCGTCGCGAGAATATAGTACGTTCCGAATCCCAACGTTGTGCCAACTGTATCGCTCCCAGCGAAAAACAAGTTCTGAGCCTCGTCGCTGAGACTGCTGGCGCTTGGGATTCCGCCCTTAACCTCCGGGTCCAAGAAGCGATGGTATACCGTTGGATGTGAGGATTTCTCGAGAAGACTTGGGTTCTTCATGTACCGCTTTACCTGCTCTTCAATCGACTACACATGCACACACAAGGGCTTCCGTCAACTCCATTCACTCATTCACTTATCCGGGGGCGGTACCTCTCTAAGATCTACAAACCCCTTTAGCTCCGGTAAAAGGCGGAGAGTGACTTTGGTCGGCAAGGTGAGAATCCAGTCCGCTAGTGAAAAGTACTTCACGAACCAGAAACTCTGGCTAGTAGCTTTGATCGTTAGCACGATATCATGCTTGAAACCCTCCACGTCCAAGGAGTCAAGACACTCGTTATAACAATACTGCGTGATAATGTCAATCGATGCGCTGCGGAATCCAGAGACTATATCCGCCGCCTCGTCGCGGTCCGCGTAGCCAGAGAGTTTGTCGCAAAGCTTTCGGATCTTCCCGCTGATCAGCGGTTGTAGCGAGAGCACCATGCGCCGGGAGAACATTGGTGAGATCACCTCCCGCCGGGTCCGTGCGATGGCAGGGTCGAGCAGCGTGAAGACGGACTCGGGCGCGCCGAAACTGAGGTAGAGGTTTGGATCCTTGGTAAGCTTGCTGGTGGAGCTGTAAATTGTGGAGTAGACTTCCGGGGAAGAGAAGTGGAGCTGTTGTAAAATTTGTGTTTAGCGCCATTCTGGGGTGGGTTGGCAGACCCAGACCTCAGCAGGGGCGTCGGGAAAAAGGGAGATTTACGTGGTTTGGCTCAAAGCGGACTATTGGACCTGATGAATGGATCCTGCGTTAGCACCGGATCATCCAAGCGCAGCTAAACCAGAACTTACCATATTCCTTGTGTAAATCCACCAAATGCTTAGCCATCTGCCCCCCTACGTAGAGGTCCCAATACGCAGAATACCACCCCGTCGCCGCCGCTTTCTTTGGTCCGGGGAACCGTCGCAGAGGGTGCAGATGGAGCCTATAGAAAACGAGTAGCACAAGGTACGCGGCCCACGCACCGAGCAGGTAAACTGCGGAGGTAACGAGTCCGATATTTAATATACCCATGATGATGAGAGTGGTGATGTTGGTGTTGGTGTGTCGGTGATGGATAAGGCATTGCCCAAGGAGGGGGTGCTCGAAGTTATATACACGCCCAACCCATATCATGTGAGTATACCGGTAGTGTGCACGAAAGGCAGTGCGATATTAAATACCGCCAGCAAGGGACGGACGGACGGACAGGAAGAAAGATAAAGTGCGGGGGTGCCATCCAACCGTTCCCTAGTAGAACGGGATACGTTGGGGCTGGAGGTCACTCTTGTGTGACACCCAACGACAGCGCAACCGCAGAAACCTTGGCCACTCCCACCTAGGCAGAGGCTACCTTGTGCAGGGCCCCCGGAAATCTTGAGAAAACCTCCGATATTCGATGTTAGACATGACTTGCGCGTCACGGCCAGTACTGTACTCGTACTCGTGTGATACTTGTGCACAGCGGAAGGAGCCCTGCACCTGGACTGCGAATCATCCTCTGTGCAACCGGGATAAAGTTCCCCCCTGCCGGCACCCAGTGCACTTCAACACATGCGGTTGCAGGGTGCACACAGACCCCGAGCCCCCCCAAGCAGGCAGTGGGTAGTCTACTCGTAGTTCTTCGAGAGGATACAAGATGGCACCCTAAATTATCTCTGAGCGTCAGCCTCACCATCACCTTCCAATAGATACCGTACTAACTCGAAAGATTGGGTAGCGCCTTGGCGGAGCTCGATCTGCTCGGCCAAGCGGTTTTGGAGTCGATCGCGGGTTACCGGCTGCCGGTACCAGGAACTTGAGGCTTGTCGAGAGCAGTTCGAGCGATCTTCCTATTCCTTTTTTTCCCCAGTGCTAGGCTTTCTCCGTGCCTTTTGTCCCAAAACAAAGACCGGAAATCCTACCAGGGGACAATGGATCATGTGAATTACTTGAGTACGGTACACGGCAGCTTTTAATATCTTAAAGTGAAAAAGAACGGAAAAAGGTTGTCACTTCTCCTTCGGGACTCCGGAGGCCGATGTGAGACATTAAACTCGATCGGTCCGAGGGATGCCGGGGAGGTTTGTGTTGTACGAGTACGAGTGATTGCCTGAGCTAAGTTTGCGGGGGGTGTGGGGAATGCGGAGGAGGTATCAACTACCGTACGACATTGGCGTATCATACCGTAGGCAGTGCCGTACTTGAAGCACCTCATTAACTCTTGCAATTCGTTATCTCTGTCAGGAGGCTGGTCCGGGGATTTATGCGCAAAGGAAGGATCAGCACTCTCCTAACACGGTCGCCACCAGGCGGGAATAGCGGGTCGCAAAGAGTAAATGCTTGTATCATACTCGAGCACAGTACTCGAATGTACGGTGGGTGAAATGTGCTGGGACGTTGTAATTTCCTCTCCTAGTAAGGCGCTGTGCCTTTTTTTTTTTTTTCCTGGCCGAGTTTTTAGCGATTTCCCTACGGTATCATACCCCCTCGTATCGTTGGGTCCTATCCGGAAAGGAGTCATACTCTTTGATTCTTGTATCGGGTAAACAGAAAACTATGGTTCGCGCACTCCAAAACCGGTGCCAGCCTTTTTAGCGTTTTTCAATTCATTATATACTCCCAGAATAATTTAAGAATTGCTCTAAAAAAAAAACTGCTACAAGGTAGGAAATGTCAAGGAGAATGACCAAGTAGATTTTTCATAGAAACCACTGATCTGGTCAGACCTTTGTGGTCATTACAAAATTACCATTCTTGGTGGGAAAGTGAAAACAGTGTTTTGTCCAGCCGCTCGTTTTTTATCAAGATATTAAATCACCGTGAAATTTAGGATAATCGAGTCAAGTGCTACCGTACCGGTATGTAGTCGGGAATCCCCTCCTCCTTCAGAAACGGGGGCGGAAAACACTGCAAAGAATAAAATGCCGGGGGGGGGCAACGAACACGGGGGGACAGCGAACACAGGTGGCGGTGGTATGGATAGATAGTGGTAGTATGGAAAACTCTGTGTCTCCGTGTGGCTGACAGTGAATGACGAAATGATAAGTTAAGAATAAGTTAGTAAATAGACTTCAAATCGTATTATGAGGTTATTACTACAGTTCTTATTCAAACATACAAAACAATACTTTCTTCTATTACGTCTTCACTTTCAGATTCTGAGACTGAGAATGAGCTCCTAACAGCAAGTCTGAAAGAATTCACAGCCCAGGTGCAGGAGCAAATGGGTATCAACATTTTAGATCATGGGATTGCTACCACTACAGCTTCAGCAGCTGAAATAGTTGGGGTCAGGCCTTCAACCTTATGGCATCACAAATTGGGATGACAATCAAGGGAGGATGAAAATGAGCTTTGTCAATAGCTTTCATTTGAAGAGGAAAAGTTCCTTATTGAGTAATGTGAATGGTTGGGAAAATGTGGTTTTCCAGTTACAGTTGAAGATATGTATAAGTATATTCCTAATATCTATCAACAACAAGTACCTCATAGTGCTCTTAGTAAATATTTGATAAAAGAGAGTCTTCATTGCTGACATCTTGAGTTAAAGTTAAAGTTTAGTAAACAGTTAGATTATAAGAGAAGGATTTGTGGAAATAATAAGAAGTTGTTTAATAACTACTACTTTGATATGGTGATCAATTAAACTTGAACAAATTTAAAAATTCTGGAAACCATTGAATTAACTCTCAAGTTTAACTTAGTATTACAATGTAGTAATTTAGTTTTCTATAAAGCTGTTAGGGGGCAGCCAATTCTAAGTCAGACGAATTGTAACTGGGGCCAGTAAGGTTTCTCGGAGAGTGGTCAAGAAAGCTTGTAACAAAAGTATGTATCAAAGTATAACAAATATATTGATAAGATCTCTTCTCCATTCGCTAATGATTCTAAAAGCTAAGGATTTTTTGCTTTGTTTGTTTGACTCATTTAAATTTTTGTTTATGGGACAAAAAGGCAGATGGAGCGCTAGCTATGACGCCTAAAAAACCGCCTCCCCCCGGACCAGGCCGAATGACAGAGCTAGAAGAATCCTCTGGGGTAGAAAAAACTACTCCTGCCCGTAATCCTTCCCATAAACTGCTCCACCCAATAACCCCTACCACCAAGCAACAAAAGAAAGCTAACTATCCGACAGTGAACCAAGAACCCAGCAAAACCCCAAGAACGAAACCACTAAAGGCGGAAACCCAAACCGAACCCCTAAGGGCCAATGATCACAACTCAAATCCAATATAAGAACCCCTAGGCCATATGAGGAGGGCCAGGAGGAGGGAGCCGAAGCCCCGGACGAGAAGGGTATAAGGGAAACCACCCCGAAGGCGGCGATGGAGAAGTGAGGAGAGGAGGTGTGTGGCAAGCATGGCAGCGAGCGTGTGCCCTCCGGGACAATCAATGATTGTGGTAGTAAGGTGCCAGCTTGACAGGAGGTGGCAGTAGGGTGCCAGCTGATCCGACCGTAGAGAAGTGGAGAGGAGGGGTAGACCCAAATTTGTGAACAACAAGTATTGGTAATCGCGTTCGTGTCTGACTAGGCAGCCTCTTATGGAGGCAAGAGAATGGAGAGATCGACGATAGCCTGTAAGCTATTCTCTCCTACTACAACTGTAGTCCCAGCCATCTGTTGAAGGTGGAAAAGGAGGTTGCCGACCATGCCAATGCCTAAGCAAGACGGGGTAGGAAGAGGAGAAACATCGCAAAGACGAAAGACCTCAACCAAGGATAGAACCAAGAGAGCCAATAAATAAATAAAGGCCTTAAGGGAGAGGGGAAGCAAGCCCACCTCCTGTAGCCGAGGCTAGATGGGGGGAGATGGGGGGGAGGGGGGTCGTGCTAGACGATGAAAGCCACGATAGTAACCATGGTGTTGAGTTTTCAATCACCGGAGGTGTAGCGAAGACGGAGGATATTCT